CTGCGAATTTGCTTTCAGTGAATTTTTATCGTCTTTTAGTAAAATATGCTGCTTTTGTTGTCTTCAGTGAAAATTCTAACGGGCCCCATTGTTGGTTCGTACTGATAAACGGTCTTTCATACACAGATTTGTAATTATGTCTCTGTTACACACTTTACAGTTCATTTGTCCGGCGTATACTTGTGTTGCTGAATGTCCCGATGTTTTATGCGAATTAAAATCAAGTTGTTTGAAAATAAGCGAGACGTGATTTAAGTGAAAATAAGAAATTGCGCCGTTATTTGTGTCCAATAAAGCAACGGCGATAAACTTAAGGTTGCCATTTTAATGTCAATTTTTAAGAAAAAATATGACGCCATTGTATAAGTTATAAGCAAAGTTTAAATTCGTTTAAATATTCGTAACAATCTTATCGCCGTGCGTATTTCACGAATGCAGCGGTGTAGGGCGGCTGATGTAGCCCTGTTACTAATATGAAGCGATAAGTTTGTTGGGTAATTCATAAAAATGCCGCAATTCCTTACGGCTGCGCGTTACGCGTGTTTCAGAGACGAAAATGTTACGGTCTTTAAGAAACAGCATCGATATACACACTGTTGAGCTTTTGCGCCATTTTGACATCCGCAGTGGGAGATCGAAAAGATCATAATACGAATATAGTGTTGAAGAAAGCAGTCTTCTTGGATTTGGCACCGTGTATATGTGGTGTTAACCGACGTTTCGGAGGAACGGATCGCCTCCATCTTCAGGGTAGAAGGAAAAATAAAGAAGTCCGCAAGCGAAGAGACCGTGAGAACCGGTAAAAGCAGGTTCTCACGGTCTCCTCGCCTGCGGATTTCTTATATATTTCCTTCTACCCTGAAGATGGAGGCGATACGTTCCTCCGAAACGTAGGTTAGCACCACACATACACGGTGCCAAATCCCAGAAGACTGCTTTCTTCATAGTCACCGCCGTGAAAGCCTCAAATCGAATATAGTGTTGTTTACGTCGTGTTTTATCACTGAAGACTGCATTATAGCCACGCAAACAATGTATTTTGGTTGAACTTGCTTGCTTACGGAAGGGTTAGGAACCCAGAAAACGTAAGGATTTTTTGGTATTGTGTTTTTTTAATAAAACGAGTGCATGCCTGTAGTGTTGCGGACGTTTCGGAGGTACGTTCTGTATTCGAAGTGTTCGGGTTGGTGAGATATAATATACACGTATGAGGGTGATGGCTTGAGAGTATGAGTTATCGATGGGATTTTTTAATGCATCCCAGGACCCTGAAGAAGAGAATTCTCACAGTTGTCCTGGTCCACTACCCCAGACGAACCAGTTCTCACCATATCTCTTCTTTAACTAAGCAGAATAGACCCCGAACATGGATACAGAACATGTCTCCGAAACGTTGGCAGTATCGCCCATAGCGACACTAACAACATAAGAAGTGACATCAATAATTAACCACCGTGAAAGCCTAAAATCGGTAATTACGTTTCTTAAGGTTTTTGGTTCACTAACAATGACCACTGACCGAAATCTGTTTTCGTCATATGAAGTGGAAATGCATTGAGACACTGAATTGTATAAATTTTCAATTAAGAATATAAAGGCAGTTTTGTATGAGCATAAACAGTGAAAACTGAACTGTGCATAATTGGGGCGTGGACGGTTTTTTTTTTTCCGTGCGGTTTGCTCATTTGACCGACTTATATCAACCCAAAGCATTTACCGCGTGGTCATGATTTGATCCAGTGCCGTTAAGGATATGAGTCAGTGTCAGTTTTAAGACGGGATGGTTCAGTCTGTATTTAGACTAAGCTTATAAGCTGGCCGACCAATAAATCTTTGTTTGATTCCCGGCAAGGATAAGAGATAACATTCTTCCTCAACAGCATACAGACCAGTTTTATGGAATACCCAGCCCCATATTCGGTGGGTACCTGGGGCTATCTTACATTCTCAACATTACAGCATGGCGGAATGGTAGTGCTTCTGAGAAACACGTGTGTTTCTCAATTCTGTGAACAGTGTTAACTAGTTCCCCTTTGAGGAGACAGGTTTTTATGTGAGGTAGAGACTTTAATATAGACCAATTTGAGGCTTCTGAAATGAATTATTAGGTATATTAACATTTACGTAGTTAAGGCATCAGCATAACACAGCCGGTTAATAAAAATTAAAAGCAGAAGCTATTAATTAATACTTGGTGCCCGATGGCATTTTTACTGACACTTGCAGCTAGACTGCACACAACTGCAGTCTTCAGGTTTCGGAAAGTTTTGCCTAAGACACTGCACCATGAAACATGCGGGAGTGACCATTCTCTCTTGACTTACGCAGTAAATGGGTGAGTTAGCTTGAAGCCCCAACCGCTTCCCCCCCCCCAGGTAATTGCCAGAATATTTTCCCAGACCTATGCAAAAGGGGTAACTTCGTCGTTTGTGGTAGATGCTTTTAAATGGAGGACCATTGGTCCTCTGTGGTCAAAGTTCGTGGCTACAGATCCAGAGGTCCCGGGTTCGATTCCCGGTTCTCAGATTTTCTGAAAAGTAGTGGGCCTGGAACGGGATCCTCTCTGCCTCCTGAGGATAATTGAGCTATTTCAAGCAAATAGCGCCTCCGGTCTATGAAACCGAAATTAACGGCCCTGGGGACCGTTGCACTGACCACGCGACAGAGTATCCGTAAAGTTGGCACTTACTTCGCTGACAAGCGGCGGTCTCTTAGTCCGTATAGTTCGCTTGCGGACTAAATGCTGCGGACTTTTTTTTTAACTGTCTACTCCATTTTGTATATATTACGGATCGTGTTAGTAACATCTTTTAATAACATAACGAACGGCAGTATTGTGAATGGAAGTAGTCTGTCATCGCAACAGCACGGATTTGAACGGGGCACCTCTTGAAGCCAATAATTAATATAAGGTCTTTTGGATCGTGTTTGCCAGCATAGCGCATCTCAAGAGTCAAACAGTACACCAAGCAAAGAAGCTTGCCGCATGTCTCTGCTGGTGTGTTGCGTGGCATACTGTACGACCCTGAACATGGAAGCGATATGTACTCCGAAACGTTCAGCTGCCCGTAATATTGTGTGCAGTGAGAATCTTCATGCCCTGCAGTTCTGAAAACTTGATGGCCTCGAGTAAGGTACATAAGGCTCAGTTGGTCTTTGTGAACAATTTTACTAGTCGACCTTAAGAAGTGGGCAAGCCAGAATTTCGACTGGCTAGGGAATTCTGGCATAAACAACTTTTTGAAGGTCTAGCGCGCAGATAAGGAACCAGTATTGCAGGAACGAGGCCTAATGGTAGTTTCTGTAGAAGAGGGTGCCTCTGTTACGACGCACTGATGTTTGTCATTTTGTATTCGTATATGATTTTCATTTCGTGGGTTACTTCAGGACACTCAGCCATACGGCGGTGGAAGGCGAACTGTGGGACGATACAGATGGGTTGGTGGTAACTGGAAATAAGCTCTGAGTCCTAATTATCCCAAGACATTTGTGAGGGCAGACAAAAAAAACTAGATATATACATCAAGCGGATTCGCATAGCGGTAACGCTGTAGAGTCGTATTGGTTCGGTGCTTTGGTCGAATCGCGGCCCGGAATACAGACTGTTTGACATTTCTCGTGGTTTTCCTCTGGGCCAGGCAGATACTAACCATTTCCTTTCTTAATCCTTTCCCAATTTGGCGCAGGGTAGTCTACCTACTGGCGGAATCATAAATTAACAGACGGTAGTGACTTGAAGAAAGCGTGCACCTGCTCACACTGGTTCTTCGCTTGCGAATTTACTTCTGCCCTGAAGATGGAGGCGATGCGTTCCTCCGAAACGTCGGTTAACACTACACCGCGCCACATCCAAAAGACTGCTTTCTTCGTAGTCACCGCCTGGAAAGTCTAAAGTCTTAGATAGCTCAAGCGGTTAGTCGCTGGCTTCCAACCGCGGCGCCCCGAGTTCGAGTCAGGTAATGTGGGATTTGTGGTGGATGAAGCGGCACTGGGCCGCTTATCTCCGGTACTTAGGTTTTCGCCTGCCGATTTTCATTCCACTGACTGCTGGTACAATGGGCCAATTAGGTCTTAGTGGGTCTCTTCCCGTATGGCTTTCCTACCAAAATCCTACATGTGTTCCTCGGTGTTCGTATTTTTATGTAACGGTATTTCGGAAATAGCGTACTGCATTTGTATGATTATAGGTAGTGTCTTGGGGGGGGGGCAGCCAGGTTACACTTATAAACTCGCTTTAAAGCCATTGAAGAATTTTTTTGCACGTATCGGAGTTTGGGGGTTTATCATTGGAACGTAGATCATACAGTGTTAAAGAATCTCTTAGTATTAATGTTTTGGTATGTTTCCTTTTAATTTTGACTTGGGTTAACGATGTAGAGGGGGGTGCCTAGCATAATTTGATTTTTTTAAGAATTTTGTTTGATTTATTTTGAATTTAGTGCAAATCATGTAATTAAAATTATTCCAAAATGAGACTTTGGTAATCAGTTGAACTATGTTTCTACCGACTGGTGTTCAGTTATGAGAGATTACAGTTGTTTTGTGTGGTATGCCGCCACGTAGTCTGGTAGAAGCTTCTCACTTAGAAGGAAACTGCTGCCTGGACACACCAGACTATACGGCGATACATCCGAGAATAATAGTTTTCATGCAGCGTTTAGTGCGTGATGTATTTATCAAATTTGTTTTCGTGCACAAAATAACTTTATTACGGTTGATAAATTTACAAGTTACGAGAGAGAGAGTTCTTGAAATATGGGACCACGAAGATGAAAGTAGTTTTTAAAAATCCTGTGCGTCGTTAGGGGTTATTCAGTTAAAAAGACGTGTTCTTATACCGCCCAATGTCTTGAAGTATATATGTGTACTTAGTGTTGAAAAATTCAGAATCGGTTTGGTGTATGAGAATGGATTGTTCTTTGGGGCCTGACAATTGCACACGTGTTCACAAGCATGAAAATTGTTCACATGTGATAACAAATTTGTTATTTTGTTTGCAGAACCACAACAATAACAACAATAACAACGCGCACACAAACACAACCAACAACCAGAACATCAACAACCTACAGCAACAACAGAGAATGTTGAGATGGGATGTAGAAACAAATCACAGAGCAGTGGGGTCCCCTGTTGTGGGAACTTCCTCCCCAACAGACACTCCTTTCCAGCATCAGACAATTAGCAGGCGTAACTCAAACCCATTGACGTCTGAACGCATCAATGTGTCATCTCTGGTGAACTCGGTAAGCACCCTTATTCTGGGCAACATTCGAGAACAGCAACAAGTGCAGCCAGTGATCCACAGGAAGCTTGACCGTAGCCAGAGCGAACCTGCGCCCTCAGCACTTCTTACTGCGGCCAATGCCAAGGCTGCCAACATCAACACAAGCCGCTACAAAACTGAGCTGTGTCGACCGTTCGAAGAGAGTGGTTCGTGCAAGTATGGTGACAAATGTCAGTTCGCTCATGGCGCACACGAATTGAGAAACCTAGTTCGTCATCCCAAGTACAAAACAGAATTATGTCGCACCTTCCACACTATTGGATTTTGTCCATATGGACCCCGATGCCATTTCATCCATAATGCAGATGAAGCCCGCACAAAGGTGGCTGGGAGCCAAGCAGTGGCAGCCCCAAGTACCACTGTTACTACTACTACATCTGCTGGCATCCCAAACAGGCCTAAGCCCTTGAATCTGGCTGGAAGCCCCTTTATGGTCACAGGCTCGACTGCAGATTCTCCATCTCCTACCTCAAGCCTCAGTCAGTCCCCTACAACCTCAGTTGGGTCATTCTTTTCATCTGAACAAGACGTTTTCTCTACCGTTACTGTCATGTCTGCGGCATCTCCACCTCCGACATCCACTTCTGCTAACACAGCCTTCTCCTTCGGACAAGATTTCACTCCATTGGTTCATCTTGGCGGTACTAAGCAGCAAAGCTCCCCTCCTGCATCCCCCCCAGTCAGCACATCCCCAGCAGGGTCCCTAAGCCCACGTGGATCTCCTCCTCCAGGTACGCCTGAGGCACGATTGCCTGTCTTCAACAGGCTCAGCAGCACCATGATGGATTTTGGAGGGTTTGCCGAACTTCTGGCTTGAAACTGTAAGATAGCCTGTCTTGTATTCCATGGCTGGCGCTCCCAACAGTTCCGGCAGTTCCCATGGAACTATTAAGCGAATTGCAATCAACTATCCGGACACAGTGAAAATTGTTAACCTCTTATGTATATAACATAATTTTCCCTTTAGGTATTATTAGTAATTTTATATTGCTTTTTTAGTTCTCTAGCAGGAACATATAGACTGGTCGAAATATTTATTATGCCATTCCAGACTATAGAAAGTTACAAAACATTACTATTTAAGGCTGTGTGGATGGATGGACAGAGATGCCAAGTCTGTGAGAATACAGAGATGGTGGTATGTGGTGCCTTATTCAGATGGCAGCAAACAAGGATTAGCTAGGCTTTCATTGGTGGAGTCGTATTTTTATTTAAAGATATAAATTATATAATAATAAAAGCAATGATGTGATTGAAGTTTTTGTTCCCACAGTTTGAATGATCTTCAACTTGGCAATAATATATATGTATATTATTTTTATGCGAGAGTATAAACGCCGACTGATTGTGATTATGAAAATTTGCGTGTGCAAACAAGTTTTCTTTTTAGTTCTTCCATCATTTTAATAGTTACATGCCAGTTAAAAAGCCATTTATACTAAAGAATTCAGGATGTGATACATGTGGTCTGTGCTGTTAGGTTTTTAATACCGATTGTAGTGTTACTTTGAAACGAAGAGTTTTTTTTGTTTGTTTTAATTTCAGATAACATTGCTCTGGAAATTGAAAAGATGAAGTAACAAAATTATTTTATCAGATGACAAGACAATTGAATGTAGGGTGAAACTATGGGGACAGGGACACCTGGCATTGACAAAAGTAGTTTAAGTCTTATTAATCTCAACACGCAGTCTTCTTCAGGTTCTCTGATGATTAGGATGGATTGGCTTTCCAGAACTAGGTAGATGCTGCTCATCAGTTGAAAAAAACTGCGAGAATGACACTTCAAAGGAAATAACATTGTAGGCTGGTGAATTTATACATTGGGAAGGATGGTTACAGTCATCAGGCATTGGAAAATAGCTTAAAATGAACTGCTGTAGAATTGAGACTGCATCTACTTCCCACACAGAGACATATCCAGATATGTTCATAATAATTCATACCGCCTTTACTCTGGGCGAAAATTATAAAAATGAAACTGTTTCTAGTTGGAAAAGTGAATTATAGAAACTGTCAATGCTTAACCGAACTTCAGTCTGTTTCATGTTGAGGTGACATGCTTGTTTTTATATACTGTTTTTCTGACTGACAGTTATGAGAATGAAACTGCCTGTTCAGAATAGAATATTAGGTGAAGTCCTGAATGCAAAAATTAACTTCATTCATATAAAAGAGAATTAGGGTGTAATTATGATTTAAGAACTTGCACTCTATATAAAAAATACGTTGCTTTCAAAGATTTTTTTTGCCATTATTATTTGTAATTATTATTCTGTTTGTTTTATATTCTAATAATTTATCTGCAATTTACCTGCAGTGATTCTCTAACCAGTTTATTATTATAATATTTTCCATTGAATAATTTTTATCTGAAAAGACTTTGAAATAAAACAGGTGCAGAATCCATATTAACTTAATTAGATATATATTAATTTATTTAATTTTAAAAAGTAAGTTAAATCAGACCACAAGGTTTTCATTTTGCCTGGTTAGAGCTCAATCTGTATAATAGTCGACTGATTTCATTTTTTTTTTTTTTCATTTTGTGTGCACTACTTTCAATGTTATATTTGTATTTATATAACTTATTATTTATATCAAGAAAATGTGTATTTATCAGTTTATTATTATAGTAAATAAAACCCATTAAATCAGTTTTATATACATTTTTGTGTGCAAATAGTGTTGCGTTCTCCAAGATGCACACAGTGTTTTTAAATTATGTTGTTTATTTAAAATATAAAAACAAATGTAACCATCTTTTTCAAAAGTTGACGTGGACCAAAATCCTGTATTGACATCATTAAGTAAAGCTTATCAAGAGTTGCAAATCAGTTGGGTACTCCAAGTATCTCCACCTATATCCATATTTGCATTTAGTATATGTCTTGTGTAACTGCTTTTATATCGAGAGATGTATGTGAAGTTTGACTAACTTTTGTTATGTTTGCTGTATACTGTATTCACACTACATGTTTGTACCCCTCTGCATTGGAAAACTTGTGTACTCTTTACCATGGACAAAAATTTGAAAAGGATGAATATATAATTTTCTAGCGTTTTCAGAAAAAAATAATTTTGTCTTCTGTTGTTTTATATTCCATGTCAAACTCCTATATCCATTTTTATGCATGAGGAGACCCTCAGTCTATGTTCTTAAAATGTGCTGTAGGTAAAGCGCTACTCAAACAACTAAGATCGACTGCATGGGTTTATTCTCCGCCCCCAAACTTGCTTCAGGACATGCGCACTTGTTGGCTCTCTCGAGTTCCTCAGTGGCAGTGAATAAAGATTAGTCTTCTGGGATGTGATGCTGTGTACCTAGTAGATGGTTAACCAGTGTTTTATAGGAATATGATGCTTCCATCTTCATGGCAGAAGAGAACTTCGAAGATGTAGGCACCTGGTTCTCTGAATCATTGGTGTCAATCTACCAGCATAGCATTACATCCCAAAAGACTGTAACCTTCCCACTTCTGCACTGAACCTCCCAATTCCACGCATAGTGTTTACACTGCTCTGTTCATATCTGAATATATTGCATCAGGTAATACAGTTGGGAACCTATCCAGTGGCTCTTTCCTCGGAGGTAAAGCGGCCGGGGCGTGAAGCAGACCACTCACCTACAACTAGTGTCGAGGTCAGAATGTGGTTCTATACATCCATTCCCCCATACGCCTTCATGGCATAGATAGACGGGGAAAACTTTATATAGTACAGCTGGGACATGTCTATTTTGAAGCTCCCAAGAGATGAGCCTTGTATTCTCAATATCTGTCATGAAAACTAGTTGATGCTTTTGCAAGGATTATTGAGAGAATCTTATTTGCTTATGGGCTGCATCTTATTTGAGCAAGAACCATTTTGGAGACCAGTTCTGTGTCCAGAATTTGGATGGATGCAATAAGTGACAACAGAATGCTCAAATATCAGTGCACTGATTAGGAGTATTTATCAGTGAATACTGATCACTCCTCACACACTGCTGATTACCTGAGAACATTCTAGTGTCATCAAAATTTTGTTTTTAAACTTCCACCGTTAAAATATATCTGTGCAATTTTCAAGAAATGAGATGGGATGGGATGTAGAAATTTACTGCACTTTGGTTTTTATGGGTGTCATATGGTTAACGCACATGGGCTGATAAAATATTGGACCTAAGAAGGATCACAACACTGGTGAAGGTCCAGCAGCAGAATCACGTGAGCACTAATGAGCCTAGAGATTTCACAAAAGGTTTATAACACTATCAGCTACTCTAGGACTGCTACAGAATATTTTGTAGTGTGACTCTTCAGGCCTCCAAGGTGTGTGTACCAGTATACTGAACTTAAGCTATAAACTATTGAAGTAACATAACAAGGTTAATGGCAAACTTCTGGCTATGTGTACTGTTCTTGAAGGCCTTCCAGTATCCAGCAGTGACTGACTGTACAATGGAAACTGACATAAGTATGAAAAGAAAGCTAAGAAATATTCTTAGGCAACCTCATTACCATAATCACTGCCCTTCAATTTATTATAATTTTTAGTATCTTACTGAAATATGAAGGTGAGAAGATTGCAAGCATCCTAAGAGTTGTTTCTTACAGTAAATACTCGTTAAGAGAGTTAAAAGTTTTGTATCAGTGTAACTTAATACAATACGTACGGAGAAAAAGCCAGAACTGCCAGGTTGCCTTGAGATGACATCCCATTCACTTATTTCATTAAAAAATGTTCACAAGTAACCCACGTTTTCTCGCAGCTTTATGAGTTTTTATTTGCTTTAGAAATCTTGACCGAATTAAGTGATAGGAACGTAACTGCCAGGAAAGAAAAATACATGAACGCCACATTTGCCAGTGTTGGCAACAGCTGAAAGTTGAATTTCCTTTCTGCCAGGTAATGGCCTTCGGACGATGCACCAACAGTGATGATTTTAAGCGTGAGGTAAACACATTGCACAGTGTAGTGACCAAAAGAAAAATACGGCAAGCTATTTAGCAACTTCATGAAAATATTCACTTTCCAGTTCAAAATAGCAAGTTTACTAGGTGTGTGTGTTAACGCAGGTGGCGCTGGGGCGGGTTTTCTCAGAGTACTTCGGTTTCCCCTGCCAATCTTCATTACACCAAATTATCTATCATTAATCACCTGGGGCAGGCTACAATAGGCCAATCAGTGGCCGCCGTGCCGAGTGCACCCAGTTGGACTTCACACCCCACCCCCACTAAGCGAATATGTTAACGCCCATGTGTATTCAACACATCTGAACAGTTGCCGGTTTTCTTGAAAGTACCAATAAAATTTTGGAGACTCGTCTCTCTCTGATAGACTTGACGGAAGACGCAAACTTGAGCTCTTTGCAGTTGAAGTTACGTGTTAACTTTTATATTAGCTGTCGGCACAGCTTTGAATGGAAAACCAAATATAACTTAGACCATAACAGTTTATTTTAATTACATTGGCCTTGCAGAATGGCGCCACATTCAAGGCATTTGTTTCATTATCTTTCTGGATTTACGTATTGGCGGTATTGACTGTCGTTATGTGTATAACTTATATACACGGAGCTGAGCCCTTCTTGAGAAACCGCCAGTTTTGCAGCTTCTCAAGAATTTTCCAACATTTTGTGGAACCCAGAGGTTTGTTACCGTGTTCACAAGAGCCCCCCCCCCCACACATCCCTATCCTGAGCCAGATAAATCCAGTCCATACCACCCCATTCTCTCTTTAACTTCCATGTTAATATTATACACCTACCTACGTTTTGGTATGTATAGTGGTCTCTCCTGGCTTCCCCACAATATGCTACACGTATATGCATTCCTCCTGCATTCTTGTACATGTCCTTCCCAACTCATCCTCCTTGATTCTGGCGAAGAATAACTTACACGGCATAATTTGACACTGAGTTACAAGTAATACAATGTTCGCCCACAGATATTATTAAACATTTATTACCCATACTGAAGCACCTAAATCCAATCTACGCGTGTTTTAAGATCCATGATGGGTTTGAGGTTCTCAGAGCTGGCTCTGAACGGCTGTGTTCTGGGAATAATGCCGTGTAGTCTAGTGAATGTTCTACGTTTCGGACGAATCTGCTGTACATTTTCGGAGGGTCGAAGAGTAAGGCCAACCCAAATACTGCTTTGTGGTCGCTTGGCAAAGGGGCTAGGGCGTGAAGCTGACGACTCTGTATAGTTCCAAAGATCATGGACCTGTACGTGTTCGATGAAGCCATTTTTGCTTGGCTGTCTTGCAAGCATATCGGAGTAGGGTGCTTTAGCTTCGTCCTGTTGTGGGCGAAAAGAATCGTTTAAATTTGGTTTAGTCCTAGTTCAGGATAAACTTCAAATGCAGATTGGGCACTTCGGGTTAACCGTGAGTGCAGGTAAAGAATGTGATGAACACGCTGAGATTTGAAAATGTTAAAAAGTTCGTATTCTATTTAACAACGCTGTCTACAGTCCATTCGCGGAGACGAGAGAGCCCTCGTAAACAAATGCACGGGGTGTCTCCTTCGCTCTTTGAATGAAATCATGCAGCGATCATGTGATGCGTGTTTCGTTGCAGGGGTGTCCAAAGTTCACTCTTCAATTGAATGCAGGTTAACGTGCGTCCGAATGCAGTGAGTACACTGAAGTAACTGCGCGCTTTGTCCACTCCTTGCTGTCAGTTGTGGCAACTCGGGGCTTGCTTAGTTTACGCTGACTGTCTCGTTTCCGCGAATGGACTATAGCTTGGACTATATAGTGTTTAGTGGTACGATGATTAGTGAATGATGAGCTGGAAAGGATTTGAAAGGAACCGGCTGTGAAATTTCCGGCAACTATCCTGGCTTTTGCCTGGGGCGATTGAAGATTACGAGAAACACAAGTTGGCATTAATGCCTGGGCCGACTTCCATGAAAACAGGAAGAGTGCTCCGACAGAGGAGGATTGGCGTGATTTGCGTGTTGAGATACGACGTAAGGATGACGAATTCTGAAAAGTTTTAATATTCAAAATCTCTTATTATATATGACGAATATATATTTTAGTCATTTTAATATGAAGACATCAGGGCAGTAGTTAGACGTGCATAGAGAAAACGCACCTGAAGATGGCACATTAGTGCTGAAACATGTAGTGCAAAAGAGAAGAGTAAGGTGAAAAAGTGTATGCACTGTAAGACGGTTAGCATAAATCATGGACATAGATCTGACCACCAGAGATGAACAGGCATATGTTGTGTAAATAGTGTTTAAGTATTGTAACGTGTATAGGTAGGCAACGGCGCGATAAACACCTCGTTTAAGCGCACACAGCAGCAGGACGAATGTTTACGGCTCGTTGGTAGGCAATAGCACGCCAATAAACTGGCGAGATAGCTGCCACGTGACTGGTTTTCAGTGCGGGTCGAGCCATGCCCAGTGCTAAGCAACAACTGTAAACACGTCTACAGTGATAAGTGCTCTCTATGGTGTCCGTGCCGAAGGTTTGTGGAGGAGAGTGAAGGTCGTTTGCAGTCAGTCATCGCTGAGAAGCCGTCACGGAAAGGAGTTGTGAGGACTCAAGCACAGGATAACTTTACCTTACCGGCACCCTTCTCAAATTGATGCAAGATTTCGCTATCCTGTTAACCTCCAGTGAAGACAAAGCGAAGCAAGTGATGGGTTTGAATATGTCGACCTTTACTTAGGGACACCCTGAGCCCCAGTGTACCGATCGCATATATAATGTTCCTTTTCTTACGAAATTTCGTGGCGCGTCTCATTAATAAGTCGTGTGGCTGTGTGGAAACAGCACCGTTTAATTCATCAGTACGCTAAGATGCGCCAGAAACGCCGTTGTAAAATCAGCAGAAGGATAAAAAAGGAGCATGTTAATGTTTACAGACAGACGAGTCATTGGTAATTGTCTCACCTTCTGTCCGTTGGAGGATAATTAGTTGCACGATTATCATGCGTGTTTGTATATCGGTGTAAAAACTGCATTTTGTCGGGTGCTGTGTGCACAGTTAGTGAGCCTTCTGATAAAGACTTCTGTGTTCTGTATACCAGAAATACTTTTCCGTTGGGAACTACCGCTTGTTATCAGTTGCGGA